TCGCCTGCTTCGTCCATCTCGATATGATATGTGCCGACGGAATTAGATCGAAGTTAAGGTCTTTGAGCACAAAAAACACGTGTCTACACAACCACCCGTACAAGTCGAAGTGCTTGCACGAGCATGCAGACGTAGTCAGGACGACATCATGAATAACAGTGAAGGTCTTACCATTTGGGTCTTTGAGTTTGAATTCCATAATTCCTTCACTTTCGGAGACGCTCGTTACACGACAATTGAAACATGCTGCACATATCTCACCCTGTACACGGTAGAATGAGAATGTCGTGTAAACAGACCTTGCGTGCCTCTCAATCGGCAAAGGTGTCTTCAAGTCAGCCATTTGCGACTCACTGTCGTTTTGTAGTTTGACCGACACGTTTCGTTATGCGTCCATCGCACTGTCAAAATGTAGTAAGAACTCGACTAAGCTGGAATGGCTACTCGTGAAATGACCGAACCAATTGTTCTCGCTCTCGGACCTGGACGTTGTCCTCATCAAACCACTCATTTTGACATCCCTGAAAAAGGCTGGAATCCAAAATTCCCTTTTTGCAAATAGATCAGTAAACCAATTGTGTGTTTCCAGCATATAATCTCTCATTATTGCCGCCCATTTAGCTTCAAATTCATTAGGCTCTATAGTTCGATCCCACACAATTTCATTAAGCCTTCGTTTGAATTCTACATCATTATTTAAAGAAGGACCAACCTTGTCGCATAATTTTGTCATTATATGCCACATGCAAAATCGGTGTTTGCAAGTTTCGAATACCTTAGGAAACGCAATGCCGATGGACGGGTCTTGGTCTGTGACAATGTACTCGGGCTCGTGGATCATGGCATCTTTGAAATTCTTCAATACCCAAACATAAGAGTCAACGTCCTCTTTCGATATCAAGGCAGCTGCAAATGTCACACACTTGCCGTGGTTATCTATGCCGGTAAAAGGTGCGAATACCATGTTGTACCTACACGTTGATCAAGTTGATTTAGTATACAAGTGATAATTTATATTGTGCAACCAGAGAATGTACAAACTATACAATTATTGTTGACATTTGCAAATATTATTGACCTGACAACATATATTGGAAAAATATACTGGAATTTTGTGCTAACCTGTTAGTGCGGTACGTCGCATCAAACGATACAACATCACCAAACGCACCGTAGTTCCTCCTCGAAATCGAATCAGCCCAAAAAAGTCGTTTTAAACAGTCATTTTCATCAAGCTCGTATTGGAAGTAGAAGGCTGAGCTTGCTTCCCGACGCTTATGGAATTTCTCGATAATCAACTGTGCATCAGCTCCTAAGATGTACGCAAAGAGTTCCCGCTTAAAGTTCTTGAAATCGACACTGGTGGCTCCAATGTTTGAGTACCCTCCAACCATCTCTTTGTACAATCGATACGACTTGACTGGCCCTATATTCGCCTTTATGCAATTCATTACGAAAGACCTATGTCCTGCATTCATCGACCTACTGATCTTCATTTGTGACTTGCAAGCATCAGATATCATTGAGTGGCTATGTTTTTCCTCAAAGATTTTAACGATGTATCCGTTCAATCCATCATATCGCACTCCAATCTTGGCAGTACAACCTACCCGGCTGGACACTCTACGTCTTGTCACGTGTCCTTTAGCATGTGCCATAGGACTGATGACTGCACGCTTCTTGTAACCCTCTCGCGAGCACACGAGGTATTTCCAAATAACCGTATGGTCACGTGATTTCGCCAACGTGCTATGCCTCACGTCAAATCCAACGTTAAGAGCATAAGTCTTGTAGAAGTTCACCGCTTCATGTAATTCCCGGAATCTTTGTCCTTGATACGGTTTAATCGATTCGTCGCATTGTGGTATCCAATGTTTTGTTCCACCTGGTGTTATTAAAAGTTGCTGTGTAACCGGCGGTTGCATTCCTTAAGTGCCATTGGAAGGAAAAGAAAAACAGAAAAATAAAACATATCAGTAGTAATAACTAAACTCAACGATTGCACCAATGTGAACATACAGTTGCACGCAATAGAATCGACTGTTGCACTTTATCACAGTATAGATAAAATTGTCCTCAGTACCTGGTTGAGAGTCATTTAATTCCATTGTTTATGCGACCCAACCAAGAAAACGTATGAAGTCCCTAAAATCACATGAAGAAACAAAGTATATCAGACCAACTATCAGATCAACTTCACTAAAATGACAAATTTTGACATGTAGATAATTAAACCAACAACTCTCAATTTCATACAATAATTGACCAAAATCGAAAGTTGAATTGGAAAATATACCTAACGCCGTCGAGTATGTGATATGGCGGTTCAATCGGAAGTTTCGGGCTAGCGAAATTGGTATGGAAATCTCATGGGATATGGGAAAATCGGGCTCGAAATAGTGAGAACCTGATGCAAAATTTCAAGCTAATGGAATATTCCCCATTGATTTCGTGTTAATCGCTCACGAAAACACACAGCTGCGGGATTTGAGGTATGAGCTGCGGGATTTGAGGTATGATTTTAGCTGAGGGTTTCCAGCTGCAAATCTTCCACCAAATTCTCGATCTGTGCGGGTATGAGTTTAGGACAAATTAATTGATCGGTGTATTTACACTATTACCCTCCAATTGATATGGCAATTGAATTCCAGCGGGTCTCTTATGTCCGTTTGATTTCATTGATCCAGTGTACCAAATTTATTCCTATTTCTCGCATTAAGGGTCATTCTCACCGGAGCGTGACCCTATATATATATATATATATATATATATATATATATATATAATTTAAGTCAATAAGAATTTTATAATTACAAAAATTTTAATAGACATGGAAACAATTTTAAATTACGTAGGACCAAAAATTGATTCATATCATAAACTCATATAAGGATTATATAAATATGCAACCTTAACAATAAAAAGTGGAAAGTGTGTTGTACTATCATTTATGTGCTTCTTGTATATTTTCCTATTTTCATTTAATCTTTCATGTGCAGTGCCACAAATGACAATCGGACATGGCCACAATTTTATTCGTTGTTAAGAAAGCTGGAATCTTAGCTGTATAAAGGTTGTCTTTTTCCCCTTTTACCCCTCCACTGAAGATATATATTACTAAAACAATTCCTTTCTATTCAAATTAGTTGTTCATCTTCAATTGAACAGTTAAAGCAGTTGTCCACATGCCTTTTTTAACATATTTATATTTTTAAATTAAAATATCACATTTATTAAAAAGAAAACATAAACACGAGTTTAATATTTCAGAATATAAATTATATATTTTTATTAATAAACCATGAATTTGTGCGTCGAAAATGCATAAGCTCTAGCAAAAAATATACAGATTTGATATAGCATAAGTATAGCTCGTGGGTTTAGCGCGAGAAGCCCGGTCGGATCTATCAAAAGGCTCGGCGAGTGTATAGCACAGCTTTATCGGTTGAAGGTGCTGAGTTTCTTCTATTAATCTAGGGTGCTGATGACTAGCTTAGTGCTCGGCATAGGAATTCTATGCGTCAGTTCGGCGCAATGGGAACAGGTTGTATTAGAGACCGAGCTAGTACTGGATTGCGGCGAGTCCCGCGCACGTGGATCTCTCAACCAATTTGACGAAGTTGAGGGAGGAAAGAAGTCTGATAAGAAGGGGGGAAAGGGATGGCTAGGAGGAGAATTCTATCGTTATCTAGAGTCCCATTGGTTGAGGGGACTCTCAAGTCTATAAAAGGGCAGGTCTTTTTCTTTAATTTAAGCAAGCGTAAATAAATATAATACATTCTTCCTCTAGAGAACCCTACTAACTTGAGCGTCAGAGTGTTTGCGCCGGGACTACCCCCGACGTATTGCAGGTATCAACGATCGAGGGGACTGAATTCGGTTCGAGGGGAAGCAAGCGGTCCAAACAAAATTGACGCAACAAGATTAATTAAAAAAACGTTGCGGATAGAGTATAAAAATAGGGAAAAAAACTTTTTACCATCCGAACTATGACGATTTTCGCGCATCACCATATCAACTATTTTTTTTAACAAACCACCACCTGAATTATACGGGTTTGTCAAATTGCTCCCTAAACCGGATTAAAAAGTGTTTTCACTATAAAAATCTGATTTTAAGAGTATTTTAGAAATTTCATATATTTTTTAAAAAAGAAGAATGAAAAAAATGAACAACAAATGCTGCACACAGGAATAAAAAACTGGAGAGAATTTTTTCGATGAAGGCTAAAATAAATTCACATAATATCCAAACTCACCTTGACACCAGCAATATCAATCCTGCCCAGAAAAGAAAAGGTATGAATGAAGGTTTAATGATAATATTCCAATCGAATCGATCTTCTAATCCATTCAGTCGGAACGTTCCTTACATGATTACATCATTCTAAGCTTGATCGGATCCCACACTCCGGTCAGCGGGCAACTCAGATACCCATTCTCAAGTAAGATCTAAGGCGTTCTAGTCGTCTGCTGCTTTACCAGTCTCCACTTCTCTTGACTTCCCCACACATATAACAAACTTATGTTATACTGAGAGATCCATGTTCTCTTACCCCTGGTATGTATGCCTTAAAATCTTTCATTACATCAAGGATTTTATGGTACTTTTCTGGCTGATCATGAAACATGTCCTTGACCTCTTTCACATAAGTCAATGCATCCTTAGTGGTGAGTTTTTCTGTACTAGCAGCAACCACATTTGAAACATCACCTCCATTAGCTAAGCACCTTTCTTCTCCGCTCCGACTTCCTCGCGGAACTCGTCAACAACATCGCCAGTAATGACGGGGCGGAGGTCACCCTAGAGCTCCGTGCCATCCTGCGGGACAACTAGTCGGAGGCAGCTTTGTGGGAGGTCTGGGTCGGGGCCCGCCACTTTGCCAACATGACGCGGATTTCCCAACCAAGCTTCCGCCACCGGTCATTCGCTCATGTCTAGCGCCGCTTGTACTTCGATTTTCGCACAAAGTGGCGTCGTCGCTAAGCCCGATTTGCTCAATGCAATTAGGGTTCTCCGACCTGCGGCTGCTCCCGGCCCGCACGCGTCTTTCCACGCTCCTCCGCGTCAAGTACATTGTCGTCACCACACAGCTCGTCGGAGATTTCCCCATCGACGGCTCGCAGGTTACTCACCCCGACGTTCTCTTGAACTATGTTTCTTGGTGCACGGCGTCAAGAAGCTCCTTGATTACTCTGTCTAAGGCGACGGTCGCATCCCTTTTCCTCCATCACCACCGTCGCCGCCGCCCGCTCATGGGCTCCCAGAAGGAAAAAAAACCATTCTTTCCACGACGAGGTTAACGTGATATCTGAGACCTCTTTCTTGTGCAGCCGAGTCTTAAAAAAACCCTTCTTTTCCAATGCAATTAGGGATTTTTCATTTTTTATTTTTTTTCATGAAATTCCCAAAATGCCCTTAAAAATCAGCTTTTTTTTAGTCAAAACCACTATTTTATCCGGTTTAGGGGGCAATTTGACAAACTCGTATAGTTAAGATGGTGGTTTGTAAAAAACAAAATAGTTGATATGGTGATGCGCGAACGTCATAGTTCGGGTGGCAAAAAGTTTTTTTCCCATAAAAATATCGAAAATTTCTACTTAAATCCCCTCTCCCTTTTTAAACTTCCTGTTCAGTCCCCCTTTTAATTTTTTCCCTATGCACTCCCCACCCCTAATTTTGTCTTTCCATTTCACTCCCCCTATATAAACTGAAGTTATTATTATTCATTTTCTTTTGGTCATTTATTCATAAAGTAAGTATCTCTCTCTCTCCTCGTTTTTTCTCCGATCTCCTCTTTCTCTATCTCGCTGCTCTCTTCTCTCTCTGCCATTTCGTCGCCATCTATCTCTGCTCTCTCTCTCGTTCGTTCGTCGCCTCTCTCTCCGTTCGTTCATCACTATCGCCATCCATCTCTGCTCTCTCTGTCGTTCGTTCATCGCCTCTCTCTCCGTTCGTTCGCATCTCTGTGAAGAAATGGCCTGCTCCAAAAAGAAATCTCCATGCAAACTGTCCTCCTCGACACCCACGAAGGCATCACCAAGCTCAAAGGTAATTTTTAATTTTTGGGCTTTGTTCATAATTTTAGGGTTTTTTCAATTTAGGGGTTGAATTCAAAAATTAGGGTTTTTTTCAATTTAGAGCTTGAATTCAAAATTAGGGTCTATAAAAGTAAGCAAGGTAAGATTTTGGGGATTTTTTTGAAAAATTTGCATATTTTTTTAAATTCAAAAATTTTCAGAATTTGGTTACTAATTGAGCACCATTTCACAAACAAATAATTCAACCATTTCAACCGTCGACATCTTAATTCTGTGCCCTATCACAAACAAATAAACCAAACAAAAATTTCAAACAACAGAAACAAAATAGCACAATTTCAACCAAACCAGCAACACCATTAAAGAACAAAATAACAACACAATTAAAGAACAAAATAGCAACACAGTCACTAAACAATTAATACAAAATTAAAAAAAATTAATAAAATTCCGAACATGCTTAACTAATTGAGCCCTAATTAATACAAATTATGAAGATGCTTAACTAATTTAGTCCTAATTCATATAAACCCTAAACATGAAAAGAGCTCTAATTTATCAGTAAAATTCTTAATTGTTGAAATAAAAATCAAATTCAAAGTTCATATAATGGACAGGACAGTTGCCGTGCCCCTTCGTTCTTTAGAGATATAATGGACAGGACAGTTGCCGTGCTTTCTGACCGGCACAAGCAGGCTCTTGAAAAGAGTCCGCTTTATTTTTTTTTCTAAATATGCCTGATATAGCGGTGTTACATAGTAAAGTGGAGGCCTTAATTAGCACATACAAGGCAGATGTGAATGCCTTTGTGGTAGGTGATAATGTGTCTCTTAATTTTGACTCTGCCGAGTTTTGTGTAACGGTGGGGCTTCGACAGGGTGGTCTAAGCGTAGACTTAGACCTTAATTTAGAGTTGAAAGCCTTATTCGACGGCTGGGGTCGAGTAGGTAATAAACTGTTGAGAAGAAACCATGTTGTAGAGTTGTTAGAAAAGTTTGCTATTGATAAAGGTCGTGTAGACAACTTCATCAGGATGTATAGTTTGTTTGTTTTTAGTTGCATTTTATTCCCTTGTTCGAGTTATTCCATCCCCAGATTTCTTTACCCTTAGAGCATCTCCAATGCTCCACTTTGAATATTAATTAACTTTGAACACATGTCAAATGATGAATGGAATGTAAATCCATGTAATATGAATGTCAAAAGAGAAGACTTTAATTTGGAATGCACATCCCCAATGCATCCCTTTCAAAAGATTAAAATAGGTTAGATTTTTTATGAATTGGCTTTCAAACACTCTTTGGAAAACTAGAAAGTGAGCTTCACACTTTGGATATTTATTGTCTCCATGTCAGCATAAAAGAGTCCATAACATTATGGATTGGAGAGTAATTTTTGTAATCACTTTATAACTTGATGATGTGGCTAACATTTTATTAAGTCAACATCACACATTGGAGATGCTCTTACATAGAGGATGTGAGTCGAATTTCTGAGTACGCATGGGGAGATGCTACTCATAAATTCCTGGTTGCCGAGCTTGTTCGCCATGGTGGATCGAGAGACCGATCCTACTTTGATGGATGTGTTGTTGGGATGATGGTATGTATATGTGTGTTTGAATTTCTTAATACAGTAATATAAAATGGTGAGCTTGTTTACTTTTCAAATCATGTCTATGTGTGTAGGTTTGGTTGTATGAGCGTGTGAGTTCTCTGGACAAACGGTCCACGCTCGAGACGATTCCCCGTCTATTTAGATGGAAGGGGACCTCGATGCCGTCTACATTTGAAGGGTCTTTACAAGCCCTTAAAAAAGTAATGCAGCATAAGGTAATTTATATAATTTTATAATATTATATGTTTTCTACTTCTTCTTTTTATCTTTTTGGTTAATCGATATCGTACTTAAATCATTATGATTTTCTTTGCAAGTGTATTCGGTATCGCCTGTGGTTGCCGAGCGTGCTTTTGTGGAGACCCAGGTTTTCTTTAATTTTGGTCGACATTAATTTATGTTTCAACATTAATATAGTTTCATAGGTGCACGTAGCTGTAATTTATGTTCCCTTTAGTTTAATTTTTTTTCTTTCATGTACAGAGGGGGAACAACGTTGGAGACCGTCTATTTGTCATGGTTTTCAAGAGAATAAAGAACTGAGAAAAAAAATTGATCTGTTGGAGAGCGAGTGGAACGAAAAGAAAGAAGAAAAAGAAAAAGAGAAAGATGATGAGGAAAAAGTCGATGAGGAAAAAGCCGATGAGGGTGGTGATGGCTGTTTTCAGCCGAATGAGAGTGAGGAAAAAGAGAAGGAGAACGAGGAGGAAGAAAATGAGGAAAAAGAGGAGGAGGAGGAGGAGGAGGAGGAGGAGGAGGGGAAAAAAGAGATGGAGAAAAAAGAAGATGAAAAAGGGGGTTTGGTGGTGTATGAGCATCAGGCTGAGGATGACCGAAAGGGGGAGGCTGATGATGAAATTAATGATTTTGTTGATTGGAACAGATTGGTTAACATGGTGGTGGAGTCGGCCGGTTTCGCGGGAGAGGAGAACCAAGAGGCCTCCTCCATAGTGAAGAGGGTGCAGGAGAGGAAAGGGAGGAAAAAAAAGGGAAAGCCGGTGGATTTTATGACCCCCCGTCATCCGGTCCGAAAAGACAAAACAAAAAACAAAAGTTGCAGTTTACTGATGATGTGTTAATTAAACTATCTACTTTATTTATGTTATTGATGTTGTAACTTATGTTATTGTTCGTGTTGTTTTCATTTAACTAACCAATTATTTTGTAATGTAGGAGATTGACGAGAATGATCCTGATTGAGTTTAGAGGGAGGAAAGACTTCTACGGCCATAAGGATGAGGCCTTGCAGGAAGAGGATCGTGCAGCCATTTTATCATTCTTGACGAGCGATCGCCTGAGGTAACATAAATTTTTATTTCAGTTTCTTGATTGTTTCATTTCTGTTATATTATCCTAATTAGAATTGCAAATTTTGGTAGCAAAATCGTGTGGAGCAATGACCAAGTGGTGGTCCGAGGAAAATTATTAATTGATCTTTTATTCGGCAACGAGTTGAATTCTGAACTTTGATTGCTATATGTCGATCCTGCGTGGCTGCTATCCCCATGTCCGATTTTTGCCGACATATGTTCAGGTACTTTATTTTAATATACTCGATTAAATTTATTGATTGTTAATTTTCTAACAAAAGTTATTGAACTTGTAGACTAATTTGGTGAGTGCAATCCAAACAGTTAACAAAAGAACTATTTGGAAAGATGTGGATTATGAGAAGTTTACTTATAGCTTGAACAAAAGTTCTGTTGCTATTATTGATGAGGTGTCGATGTCCTTGAATGGTGCCAAGTATGTTTTCCTTCCCGTGCTGCAGAAGTTTCACTTCTTCTTACTTGTCCTTAAAGTTCAAGAAAAGAAGATTTTGTACCACAACTCAATGGACACGAAGATTTATTGAGGGATTGGGAAGAGCTTGGTAAGTGTTATTATAACATATAAAACTTTGTTTTGTACTGATGATTTTCTTTCGAATAAACGTATTTTGTTGTTTTTTTCTTTTTTTATGTGTGTAGGCCAAGTTCATAGCAGGTTATATGAAGTTCAAGTTTGGATGGGCCATTCAAAAGGATATTCAGTTTGGGTACCTCAGGCAGCAGACAGGCGTGAAGGATTGTGGAGTGCACATATGCATGGATATGGAGTGCTACGCTGTCGATTCAGATGAATTCTGGAAGGCCCAAATTAGTTGTTCGATTGACGGCTATCGAGCACGCATGGCAGCACGAGTCCTCAGAAATCCTCCATGATGACTGTTTTTTGGATGATGTTTGGATTATACTTTGAACAATATGTTTATATGTTGGTTATGAAGAAATTGACTGTGAATTTTGGGTTGGCTTGTGTGTTGTTTGGCTGTGAACAATAGGTTGTCTGATGTTTGGCTTTGGATATTGGGTTGGCTTGTCTAATGTTTGGCAGAACCTCATTTCTGTAAAACAGTACCGGTTTAACTATAAATAATACCAATACTTCTTCTATGCAGTACCAGTTGTAGATGAATTTGTACCTGCATTGTAGAAAGAAGAAAAAATAATGGATTACTTCAATTTTGGTCAACTATTTCAAAATTAGTACCAGAGGTAGAGTAAGATAGTGCCAATATTATGTTGTTCTAGTAAAAGGTATCGAGTATTTAGTACCAATAAAAAATAACAATTTTTGTAAAAGAGTACCGGTTTTATCTCGAA